AGTCGAAGCCTTCGAAGACAAGTGAATTCTAAATAACTACCTTTATAAGTCTCTATTTTGTTATCTTGAATCCTTTCCAAGAGAAACCTATTTTGTGACAAGCCTCCTATTTTCTGTTTTCTGCCCGGGGTACGAAAAGAAACCGCGCGGAAAATTGTCAATTCGGTTTGCTCTGGTGTGACATGAGACACGGTAACAATAACATAGATAGCCCGGGCTCAGTCGATCACAGGTCGGACACGCTCCAGCCCCGATGCAATCCTATTCCATTAGCCAGGATGCTTTTACTTCTAAACCCACTCTTCCTGCCCGCCTGAAAGGTATTTGAATTATGTATTATGCATTATGTAAGAGTGCGTTTTCCATTGTTACGGTGATAAATTCCATCCCTTAATTAATTTTGGTAAGAGGTATCCCCGTTTTATAAGCCAATTACATTATTTATAATCGTACACTACCACGCTCCATTTGCTCGGATAGCTAATTAAAGTTAGTTAATGAAATTTAAATTCTGGGTACTTCTGCTTAATCGAAGTTCCTATCGGGGGCGTCTTTTTAAACTTCATAGCGCTCTAATTAAGGAAGCGTCGTTAAAAACTTAAAGGATGTACGCGGTGCTTTTAAACCGTAACCACAATTACTAAAATTCGTAAGCCATACTGTACGGTACCGTACCAGTTTTCTCACGAAACTGGACAATTAATGTAAGTTGCACATAAACTTTTGTAAAGAAACCGCTTTCTTACGCCAGAATGTATCACTCTGATGTGGTTTATTACTACAAACACATTTTGTGTAGAGTAGGTCCCAATTTCAACTAAAACATTCACGATTAGTTGTCTTTTGGGCATCTGAGTATTGAAAACTGATTAAGAAGATGTGTTTTCTTTTTAATCTTGAGGTCCCACTATTATTTCAATCAATACGTACCTATATGAACACTCAGTACATGAAAAGCGTATTTTTCAAGGACAAACATGGCGGATCTCTCAACTGCCAATAGAAAATATCATCTCCGTACGCTCACATTGTCTCTATAGAGTCACTGCAACACACCCACGACTACAGTACCCCTTAACCGTGACTATCCATCTTGTATTGAAAGCATAGGACTAGTAACAGTCCACTGTCCTATAGTAGAGCATTACAACGACGAAGCCGAGCTGCCCTATAGTGAGGCATCAAAGCTTCCCTTAGCGCTGCAATTCGAAAACGATACGACACAACATAGTTGTATGTACCGCAAAGAGAATTTATCATATACTGCTTCATAGCGACCGTGAACAAAAGTATGTCTGACGATAACAAGAAACGTATTGGGAAAAGGAAGCGCGGTTTCCACGATCTCTTCGGACCTAAAGTTTCGTTCCGTTTACCAAAAAGCCAAACACGTGATCAAAATGCAGGTTTAGTATTCGTTTAAGAAGGTACGCGAGTCGAGGTATTTGCGTTGAAAAAATAGATTCCGTTTCAGAGTTTCTAACGGGCGAGATTTAAATAGAGAACTAGCAGAGTGGCGATTCTAAGCTGGTTTTCTCTATCGTTGAATGCTTTTTTGTTCTTCTTCTTTTGGGTATGTGTGAAGATTTGCGGTGGAAATTGAAGAACCAGAACGCGGAATTGGTTGATAAAATCTATTTGGGTCGCCGTAAAGATTATCAGTTTAGCTTCAGGTAAAATAAACATATTAAGTAGCGAGAACTAAATTTCGAGTACGTCGTGGAAAAACAAATTCGGTTTTGTGAAAAATTGTAGGTCGCCTGCCTTTTTCGCACGTGTGGGAATAGACGAATTACAGTAAATTACTGGACGGGAAAAAAGGCCGTTTATTTACGAGTGGTAAAATATACGCGAAGGGACATTTTCCAGTCGGAGAACCGCTTTTCAAGTAAACAAGCAGAAGTAAATCAGCATATGCATAATTAAACCGCATTTTGGGTATTACAAATCACTATTTGATTAGCAACGTTCAAAACGCCGAATCAAACCTACATTAAAAGCTTGCTTAATAAAATTTGTCATTTTATCGATCTCAAGAAATCTAACTCAAAATAGACTAGAGTCTGCACATCTACACTATAGCAGAAAGCTTTTAATCAAAACTTGAAGTTTAGCTATTGTAATTGCCGAAATCTCAGTCGGGACAGCCAACCAGCCATAACGAATATAATAGCGTATTTTTTTGTTCATAATAAACAAAGAGTAACGGCTGGTTAAAAACAAGTTCTTTAATTTGAGTGACGTATTTGGGTAACGCATTGTGCGATAAATACAATGTGAATTTAAAGATAATAATTAATCGGTTCATTTTTGCACAACAAAACAAAATTAATATCAACACCGCGGAACGTTGGCGAATTATTCCTTTGAGGATTTCCTCTGAGATTATTCGTAAGAGGAAACTATTTACGTCAATTACTGCAAGTTAATTTAAATTTTTTGCTATAGTAATGGTCGATTATTTTTAGGAATTTGCATAAGTAATTTTAATATTCCTAAAGGAATCGACCCGTGCGAATTATTTGCATAAAACAGATTTGTATTGTGTTTACTGCTAAGAATCGAATCCAACCAAAGGATATTGGGTATTTTGTTTCACTGATTGGAAAATTACATTTAATTTCAGTGATACCATTCCCTTGGTTAGTTTAAAAATTAAAATTGTTTCAGATTCAGAGGTGTGTATATTTCGAACAGAAAAATGTACTAGTAAGATATTATCATGATTATATGTACTAAATGCTATAAGTGCTATAAAGTTTCATGTGGTCCCACTGTCATCCAAACCCTCTTCAGACACCTTTTCAAATACAATCTGGTCAAAACTGAGACAATCAAAAATGGACGCCTCTTTTATAGGTATGTAAAATTAAAGTATAATTTGAAGAATTTCTTCAAAATCTCCACAACATGTCTTCACAATCTCTTCAATATCTTTTGAAACCAATGAGAACTCTTTTCCAAATCTCTGAACCAAAATATATTCAAACTTCTTCTTAAACCATTGTTATTTGGGAACATCTTTAGAGGATCCTTAAAATCTTTTATCCTTGTCAATGTACTTTTAGAGTGTAAAAAGTCTCCCATGAGACCACTTTTGTGAGCCTCTTCACAATCCTTTATGAACTCTTTACAATCATTTCCGAATCTCTGTACCTACAGATTATTTAATACCTTCAAGTTTCAGAATATACAGTACAATTATAATTATTTATAAATAACAATTAGGCCAGGGTGTTAAGTTTTAGATCCTGACCAATTATACAGTGAGATCAAAAAATATCTGAAAATGTTCCTAGCGCTTGTAAACTGCTGCATTGAACTGACACGGAAAAACCCAACCGCAGTTTTTCGTCTCAAAAACATAATTTATAATTCCAACAATAAGTCTACTCATATTGGAGCACCCTGGCAGAATCCTATGTAGCAAATCAAATGGGATTCGTAGAAAAACAAAAACAAAACAAAAATCTCTCCGAAACGTCTTCAAAATCTCTTACAAGTTTTTCATTACCTCTTCAATATCATCAGAATCCATTAGAGTACTTTTTTAAAAGAAACTTTGAGATTGTCTTTAACGTAACCACCTCTTCCCTTTCGTTAAGCGACTGAATTGTATTTTTGGATTTTTCTAAATTGGTTTACAGTACACTAGATTCTGGATTAAGTAAACACCTAATCGTTCAGTGTTCAAGAGAGTATCTACGACGATCACTCTGTTATTTTAGTAGTTCTCGATATATGATTTAACATAATCCCCAAAATGTCCACCTCATATGCACGAAAGCGTCCAGTCATTCTGGGAAATATAGAAAAAAATAATTCGTGTAGGTCCAATTTTTCGGTGTTATGTGGTTGAAGATACCCCGATGATTGTCCCAAGCGATATCGGTGCCGGCGGAGGAGGAAGAAGGTACAGTTATGCGGTTTTCTGCAATATCTCGAAAATGGTGGGTCGTAGGAAAAATTTCGTATTGAAAGCTCATGAAATTTTCTACAACTTTGTTTCTATACATTTTTTCCAAAAAACGCATTGTTTTCCAGCTTCGGGCCCTTGAAGCTGAGCAATTTAAAAAAATCTCGCGTTTTCGGTTGAACTTATTAAAGTAACACAACGCAATTACTTCCAGATGTCTCTAATTTTTTACACGTAATATCACTGAACAATGAAATAAACAAAATATAAGGTGACTACTTTAACAAAATAAGTATCACAAATCAAGTTACTTCAAATTGAACGAAACTGTGTTCAATCTAAATTAGCGACCACATTTAGCCTTCAAAAAATTGAAAAAATACAGGATGGCCCATCATTAATATAGGTGCTGATACCAATAAAAACTCCGCATGGCGTCATTTACAAAACAGTATCTTAGTATTTATCAAAATCAAAAGGTCTAACGGGATAAATTTTCTGGTGGCTGTGTAGGCAAAATTAACGGATTAATTAAATAAATCATCAGTCATTTATAGGGGTATACAATTTGATTTTCAAATTAAACTAATGCAATTTATTTATGCGTATATCACTGGCAAGACATCCAAACAGATGATTTCAATTAAGTACTGAATAAGATTAAAAATCGATCGCACCAGAAGCGCAAGAACTTCTTCCACTTTTAATAATTGTCAAAAAATTTTAATATAAAATAGCTGTGTCGGTGAAAAAGCGTTTTCTAATTACGATGATAGCACCAACTCAAACAAGCCGTCTCTTTGTTTAGTAGCAGGTGTACGTATGTTCATTATTCTTGAGTCTCCCCACACTTGTCATTAATTTCGCAAGTGCCTACACCCCCCTTGCGTCCTTGCTCCACGAGATTACTTGAGAAGGATGTTAATTAATGCCTGGGATAGCGATGCAAGTGCAAACCATTGTATTGTGTCTTAGAGACGTCGTATGCTAAAATATTAGCATCTACAGAACTTTGTAAACCCATTAAAGGTAAATTAGATATTGATTAAACTGGATAATAAGAAGTAAGAAGCCACTTACTTACCTTTTCGAAACCTTATTGGAGTAGGATTGAAACGTGGGGCGCTGGATTACAACATATCCAGATATTCTTCAGGCTGAAAAGGGAAAAAAAGATAATTAGTGTCTACGATTTGCGGCTTTAGCACTTGGGACGAATAGATTTGGTTGTGACGTGTGAAATTTTGAAACGGGAAACGAAATCCTTTGAACGCGAAACGAGAAAAGGTATCAAATCTAAATTTAATAAAACTGATATTGTTTGGAAACAAAATTAAATTGTTTAATGTTGAAGAAAACTGTATTCATCTTATAGATAGAATCTATTGGAAGCAGACGCCATAAACGAGTTAAGTACATAATTCTTTCAACAGTTATATGCAGCCATCCAATTTTAAACTATCCAATTTTTCATTTCGGATTTAATAACGTCAGTTCCCGGCAATAGGGTATTTCGCCCGTTCTTCGGTCGGTCACGATCCCTATATAATATTAAGAAATGAAATTGATCTCGCGTCTCCTGCCCTGATGTTAGATAAAAGTTTGTGATTACTTTGTATAACCCGGAGTCGACTCCGACTACGTCACGTACCGTAAGGACGTATATTACATTACAGTCTTTAATGAATTCTCTCAAAGGTGATAAAGTATCTCTCTTTTTAATAAGGGCAATATTTTACATGCTTTGTTTCAGAAGAGCCGAGTATAGGGAGTACAATGCGAAGGAAATGCGATTTTCTTTCCGCTCCTTTTGTATATACCCTATCGACTTTTACTATCTTTATGACCCTCTATGGTCACTTTCAATTATTTGTTAGTACCACCTACTACGAAATTCGATTTTGTTCAATTTAACTAAGCTGCGGTGTTCCATTTTTTAAATTGACACATTTACCCTTCTATTTACAGCTAATAAAGTTACCAATGCAATCAAGTTGTCTAATTAGATTTCTAGCATCTCTATAAAAAGACTCACCTAAAAGCTTAAGGACAAATTGCTTTGATAACATCACTTGTTGCAGGTTTTTGTAGGATTTGCAGTTAAGGTGGTCATAAACATTGTTGCACTTACGCTGTTGTTTACCCTGAAAAGCGTTATTTACACACTTCATAAATTGCTTTGATCGTTATTAGCAATCGACCTTTCTCTTTATTATTATAACTTTCTCCGTTGGACCTTTCGGGAGATCTTTCTTTGTTTCAGATTGCGTTAAATTGAGCCTGTGTTGCAGTTGGGTAGATGGACTAGTATAAAAATTGCCAAAGTTAGCGCCCATATTTGAAAAAAAAACAAAGTTTTCGCCCAAAGGCTTTAGCGCATGGTCCATTCATTGAACAGTAGTTTCCAAAAGGCCATAGCTATATGTGAACTGTGGACTATATTTTACTTTACTAAAAAAAGCAGCTATTAAATCTATTTCAAAGAAATGTCTCTATAAATCAAAAAGTTAGCATTGCGCAGTCTGCGCATGCCCACACCTGTTGTTTACAATATGCATCTTTAGTTAAAATTTCAAAGAAATATGTCTATAAGTAACAACCTTCTTAGAATTTTCCAATTTTTTTAGAATCCTTTTATAATTCACCTAGAACCTACTTTTAAAACCTTTTTAGAATGTCTGTAGATTAAGAAATTGGAAATAATGTTTCCTGTCGTCCTTAAAACCGGCCCAAAATATTAATCAACCCGCAACTACCTATTGATACAAAGAGGGTTGAACAAAAATGACAGAGCTACAAAAGAAGTAACATAAATGATTCACGAAAAATGGGCCAACAACATAGACTAGAATATTGACTCCCAACTTAAAAACAGAAAACAACTTTATCGGCTTATACAGGGTGGCAATTTGAAAACTTACCACCCCCCATGTCTTAGTAAATAAACGAGATATTTAAAAAAATCAAAATCCGATTCAATAATTCGGAGGGAGATTCACAATGACATAGTTGGCGACGCACCCCCTCCAACCCCCTGCGCCCCTGCCATCCCAACTTTTAAATCTTAAATAGTGACCACCCATGTGTGATACGTGCAAATAAAAAAATAAACAAATATGATACATTTGAAATCTGTCGTATTTAAAAAGCAACCGGCGAACATAGACGAACTAAGACGGAGAATAATTCAAGAATGTCGAAATATTGCAAAACCAACATTTGAAAAGGTTCGACGAGAGTTTGAGAATAGATTATACTACTGTTTTACCAATAACGGAAACCATTTTGAACATTTATTGAAATAATAGCCAACTTTAGAAAATGTATCATACTAGTATTTTTTGATTTGCACGATAATTACTAACCTAAATTTAATGCTATTTGGTATGGTTGGAAAGAGCTATCCAACGACGTATCACACATGGGGGGTCACTATTTAAGATTTAAAAGTTGGGGTGGCTGGGACGCAGGGGGTTGGAGGGGGTAAGTCGCTAACTATGTCATTGTGATTCCCCCTCCGAATTACCGACCCGGATTTTGATTATTTTAAAGTATCTCGTTTATTTACTAAGACATGGAGGGTGGTAAATTTTCAAATTGCCACCCTGTATACCCCTCAACATCGCATAAGATATAATATAATAGCAGAAACAATAATTCGAGCAATAATTATATCTGTCGATATTTTCTTTTACGAATTTCACGGAAAACTGTTGTTCTTTCGAATGTTAACGTTCAATATTGATAATTGCAAGTAAGTAAAATTTTATTCTCCCGAGAAATTGAGGTTTTAAACGTTTTCTCGGTAGAGAATCAAATTTTAATAAAATGGGTTTACTTATTATTTATCCCTCTACCCTTATCCTTGAGGCCAGAAGAGGGTTATGAACCGATGAGCACCCGAGTCATATTAATATAATTTATTATTTATTACACAACAAGCAGGCTCTACCACAATTAGTCTTGCACTTACATGATAAAATGCAAGTACTGCCTTAATTTTTCTGCATTATTTTCTAATTTAACTTCATACATGTTAAAAGTAGTAACAAAGAGAAAGAACAAGCTTTAAAAAATGCAAGACGTAAGCATGTGTCAAGAAAAATGTTTCCTCAAAATTTGTGAAATAATTTCAAATGGAAGCGTTCTAATTTTTATGTTTATATCTTAAACTATTTGAGCATCAGAGCCCTTGGTTCCATCTTTAGGAACCTTTTACAATTCTATGCTATGTAAGAAGACACCGGTCATTCGAAAACCTCGAGTTCCTAAAAATAGATAATACGTAATGTAATGTAATGTAATATTTTGGCATACGTAAAAGCGGTATTAACCAATATTTATATATCCTAAGATTTCACGAATCTCCGGTCATTTATCCACCGAAAAAATCCTTCCCAACCGGTCAATTGTTATCATGCACAATTTTAGAAAATCTAAAATAAAACGGAAACCATAACAGATAGGTATAGGTCATTGATCGATGCAGAATTTTTTTGGACATTTGAAAGTACAAAAAAAATAAAGCATGTTTTATTTAAAAAAATCAACTTTTTAAGATTTGAAGATATTAAAATTGACCATTAGTTTGAGAACACCCTGTAGAAGAGCGATCAAAATTTAAGTCATTCTCATGCAACTTCAAGTCAGTATTGTTGATTTGGGAAAACCTTTTGAAATTCAAGTCAATGGAGTCATAGGTACAGGGCCCAAAAGAAAAGCAGTCAAAAATTTTGAAAAATTTTGAATTACTTAAAAACCTTTGATGCTGGGTATAGGAAAATGTGGTATCAAACGACGTAGATTTCGAAAATGCGATAAAATACGGAGTGTTCTATTTAAAATAAGAAATTTGCTATAGAGCATCTGGTAAAACCAATGAAACGATCATGACAATATTTTATTTCGATAGATCATGAAAAACTCTGTTGGTATGCAAATTTTCAGATTTAAATTATCAATGAGAGCCTGAATACTTTTAGGTAACGGTTTGCGTGAAACAGCCTGTATATTCGTATAGGTAACATGTAATATTCTTCAAATATCAAGTAACAGTGTCCTCGGATGAGTAGGTACTGGAACAAATCAACAATATTGATCTCTTTTGAGAGAAACTAAAGCCGGTAAAATGTCGCCTTGTTTAACTCACGCACAAAACGTTGAAAATCAATTAAACGGTTTCTAAAGCTTAAATTATGTAAGTTAAATTTATTTATGTAATCCGTTTTAAATTAACTTCATTTTAGACTAATAACTCTAATATTAGTTTATTTAATTCGGGTATTTCTAAGTCTTTCCTTAATAGGTCTAGTTTTTAGTTCGGAGTTAAACATGAAGTTGTAGGAGACGGATAAAGATAAATTACTTTTAAGCTGCAAATGTAATTAATTTAACTGCAATGTGAGCGCACGAAAACCTATTACGGCTCAGTGTAGTTTAGTTTCAATAAAAGTCAATTAAATTTCCTAATTAAATCCTTGTATGCGTATATATTGTATAAGGCACAGAAATGGAACCAATTCCAAGCCGGAGCACAATTATTACACTCTCACCATTTCAATTACAACTTCGAATTACTTTTCAGACTCTTTTTAATAAGACTCTGAACACATCTGCAGGGAACCTCTACGTCTCTTTGTAAAAAGAGGACAAGCTCTTGAAAGGTTTACCGTTAGGTTTTTCTTGTTATTTACGAATTAAAAGTAATGTATGTACAAAGTTCATAATTGAAAGAAAGCTCTGTACAGGGGATGAAAACCGCAGTGCACTAATCCAAAAAGATTCCCCGCCCCGATTTCGCTATGCAATGGAATCGGCAAAAGCTTCCAGGCCAAATGCTTTTAAGACTTTAATTCAGAATTGTGCAGACATTTTAGTGAAATTGCCGAACATAATTACGCCTGCAGTACAAATACAAACACGCTTAAATCGAAGCTACATAAACCCGAAAGTATCGGTTTAAGTTTAATAATAATGCGTTTGTGTAACTTTAGTGGTGAACAGTAATAGCATTAATATACATTTAACATATGCTCTTTATAATTTATACTTTGCTAATGTATTTAGGGGGTGAGATGGGTTATAATATAACTTTAATTAATTTGAAGCGCGAGATGTGGTGGCGTAACTGTCGCCCATACGTCTACCGAGTGTTTCT